CATATCTCTAGACTGTGGGAGGACGCCGGAGTACTTTGAGAGAACCCACACAGGGAGAAGGAGAACATGCAAACTCATGTTAACTACGTTAATTCAGAGTCTAGCCATAACCTCACAGATGTGAAAAAGAAATTCAAAAATTGTGATGATATAACTGCAAAAAGACACAGGCACTGTGTCTTAACCTTGCTTTTATATATGACTATAACAAGACAACAACCAGTTGGCAACCAGTTGCGTCAAGTCCTCTGTTGCAAAGAAACGTTGCAGATGAGTTATGCTCACTGGAGCAGACGGAGATCGACTGCAATGTGCAAGCAACCTGTCTGTTAAACCAGACAATTATAACATTTGCCAATCCACCTGTGAGTGATTGCAGTTAGTATGAGTTGGGCCAGGATTCTCTGGAGACAGGTTGCCTCCCACTAAGCGACCTTTGCAATTACCTTAAAAGCAATCGAGGTTGAAGGTGTTTCATGCTCAGTCTGTCAGAGATCAATTAGCTGCTGCAAGTACTTCGAATCGGTCACCAAATGTGCACAAGGAGGAGGTTGCGGTCCTATTTTAATTCTAGTGTGACTGAGCCATTAGCAACATTTCTACTTCTTTGGTTTTCCATTTAATGTCAATGTCAATTTTTAAAGTATGAAAAACACAACTTTCATTATGCACTAAAAGCCTTGTTTGTTTTCTCAATTTGCCATTAACAGTGTATAAGACAGGTTTGAGCATGGTTGATAAATACCTGCCGGTAATTACCTATTCGCTGTGCCTGAGTATAGCGGCGGCTTAAAATTTAACTTGATCTAACGGCACAACTTTATCAACAGAGGTATGCAAACATAGCAGTCAGTGACAGAAATGCATTAAAGCAGGTGAAAGCTTGTGACACTAGTATCAACCAGTCTTACTGTACAAAAGAACGAAGATAAAGCCTGATATTGTCTCACATGGGAATAGGCAACTTCCCTTAGGGGATAGTACAGTTAATCTTACACAATCAAAACATTCACACAGACTCCGCAAACATAAAAGCAAATACTGCCAGCAAGCACCACCTAAATATAAACAGGGACGGCTTTAAATGTTTCCGCTTCAAGCACATGTAAATGTCTTTCACATCATATCAGACAGGTTTGACACAGGTGTTTAATAAAGAGCTGGTACAGTGATGTGTTCTCCCTTTGTCTCATATTTGATGCAGTGTCCACAAGCACTGGTTATTAAATGTTCTGTCCAAACAGTATGTTTAACAGTTCCTATATATGTCAACTATATGTGTGTTTTAAAGGCTTTGGGTATTTTCTCATACACTTTTGTACAACTGACAATTTAGAAGTGATGGCTGCTTTTTTAAGATGCAATTCATAAGTAAAACAACTACGGCATTAATGTGTCAGTAAGTCAATGAATGAATTGACAGAAAATTACTCAACAACCACCTTAACTCATTCACTGCCAGCCATTGGCAGTGAATGAGTTAAACCCATTGACTCATTCACTGCCATTGACGGCTATAGACGTCAATGGCAGTGAATGAGTTAATAAGAAATTTATCATATTAGCAGATATTAGTGGCTATGATATCCCACTGGATAGTAGGGCTGGGCGATATGGCCTAAAATTCATATCGCGATATAATTTGAAGCATGTGCGGTAACGATATATATCGCGATATATTCTTTTCTTCTGTATAACGTATTTTCCACACTATAAGGCACACTTAAAATCCTTTAATTTTCTCAAAAATCGAGAGTGTACCTTATGTATGAATTCTGGTTGTGCAGAGTTTTTGGCTTTCCCCATATTTCAAAAGTGCTTCATCTCTTTGCTATGACTCTCGGCATAATTTGCAGATGATAATGGTTGTAGCCACTGTGATGCTTTTGACCAAAACAGGCGCAGCTTGGTGACATCATCAACATATGCTATCGCGATAGAGCAGTATAGTCAAAATCTCTATCGTTGGCCAAATTTATATCGTTTCTATCGTATATCGTTTATATCGCCCACCCCTACTGGATAGCTCAGCATATTTGGATTTTTTCAGACACCCTTCCTGATTTATGGCCTTTTCAAGTGATTCATATCTACTCCCAGGACATAACCAGCGATCTTTTGCTTGTTAGGTGAGTGTGTAAACCCATACACTATGTATCCATTTAGATCAAATAAATAAAATGTATGACTTAATATAAACCTTTTATCTTTGGGTTTTGAATATTTGCTCACCTTCTGAATACACTTTAAGATGTTCAAAACTACAGTTTGGCTTTCACGATACGACAGAAAGCTGTAATTATGCGACAATGTTTAACAGTGCAACGATATATGTTGGCTATACAGATGCTATTACTTTCTGCTTTATTTGTAACAAAAAAAAAAATACTATTTTGAACATTACAGCAACCATTAGGTTCATATAGATGAAAGTTCCTAATCTATGTCAAGGAATGTTTTGCAGTGTTTTTAATCACATATTGTAAGATTTATTGGTCATCAATAACTTTAACACACATTTACAATATTCTCTTATATTTTAAACACTAAGTAAATAATCTGCAGGTAAAAAATATTGTTACAGCGATATATGCATGATGGTTAAATTCTGTGCTGATGCCAATGTTAAAATTTTGTTAATTTTGTTGTTTCTGTGTAATTTATTTCCTCTTTTGTACAAAAGAAACAAAGAAGCCTTCATTAAGATTAACTGTAAAGTTAACATCAGTGAACATTTAGGCATCACAAAACCAATGTGAAACACGTGGCCGTGATTATACATCAGTGGATCCCTACGAATACTGGTAGCTGTAGGAGTAGTTCAGCACAAACATCATGCGTCTCGGCCTCTCATGAACTCATGTTGGAGAGATTCACTGTACATCACTGAGACAGCCAACACACTGACAGAGCTCATACCTGGCAGCGCAGTGAATCAACCACCCCGCGGCTCTCTCTGCATGCCAACCACATATCCAGCTGACTCAAGACCGCACGCAACATGATAAAACGGACTCCTTTGAAGACTTTAAAGTATGCGTAGAAACCAATTTAAATGTTAAATAATAGCCAACAAAAACTAAAAGGCTCTAATCTGAAATCCCCACATATTCAGACTCTACAGGGAGGAATTGTGAGGTTTCTTGTCTGCTTGTGGACTCATAGTGACAACAACAAACATGGTGATGCAGCTCTTCTCTGCTGGAAGGAAAGGAAGGGCAGGGGGCTGCCTGCCTGTGTGATCCTCTGGCGCTGTGGGTGAGTACAATGGAAAATAGTCCCCATTGCTAATCCATGGCAGGCTAATTACAGCTTTGATCCCCTAAGCGTGTGCATCACTGTTGGTGGGTGGGAAGGAGGCAACACACTACTGGGTTCAATACCGTTATGGCAAAACTGGCTTGGCTCAAAGATGTCTCCATTTACTCACAAACGGTGCAGAGGTGGAACCAATATGCTGTCAAATCTTACATACACTATATTAATACAAAGGTCATAAGAGTCCTTAAACCATCAGCCAATAGTTTTATGAGCATACAATCCTTCATCGAGCAAATCCACCAGCTTCACAATATGATCCAAAGTCACCGACAAGGTTACCATTTACTCCACTGAGCAGCACATGAAACCCAACTCCTGGAGACATGAGACACAGATTAAGTGGGTAACTGGAGTTTCTGTCTAAAATAGGCCGCTGCTCTGATGATAGCCTAGTCCCAAAACACATGGTGGTGGAAATACAGCAAGGCAGGAGGAGGACAGAGGAGGATGAAGGCTGAGGATGAGCAGCAGATAACTTGGAATTATCTAGAGCTTGAGCTCCACACCTTTGCTCATTATGCCATTAGTGTAATGGTGGCTTATTAGCCTAGACCAATATCACTCCAAGCAGTATCCTTTTAATTTACTGTTTGCTGTCTTGAGCCACAGCAAAATGTCAGTATGGAAGAAGGAATGTAAAAAGTAAGACACAAACATGCTTAGCTTTATGATCACTTTGAAAAACCTCCACCATCTCCAGTTCATAACCTGTGCTGTTTTAAAGGAGGTTTTTGTGGGTTTTCAAGTGGCTTGCATTAGTTATCCCACTATCAATCAGGATCCCCCTCCCCATCTCAATGATGGCCATTTGATGTGTATTAATAAAGCATATTTAAATGTAGGTGCAGTTACACTAATACTGCTTGGTTGACACTCAGTTCCAAGGCACTTGGGTCAAAGCATACAAATAGACCTCAGCACCCAGTTTTGTTTTGTTTTTTAAATCCAGCCTTACTTTAGTTTCAGTAATTTTTCCTCATGACCAGCTTATCAGTCATCTATTAAACAGCTTGAACAGCCCTAACCTCCATGAATGATGCTATATCAATAAAGTTTGATTAACTTATTGACTGATTAATTGATTGAGCAGCAGAGGCATGTATTAGGTGAATTAGCAGAGCATTGTTTAAGTTATTTGTTCATACCTAAGCCATTCCAGCATATAACTATAGGAATGCATCTATGACGGGACCTGAAATCACCTTGAAGCTGCTGCAAGTTTAAGGTTATTATGGTATAAATGCACACACATAAACAGACTGGCCATGCTAGCGTGTTTCTACACATGGGTTATTTATTCAGAAGCAACGAATCCGCCTTAAAAAAAAAAAGTTATAAATGCAGTCGAGAGTTTTAAACCTGGGACTTCCGCTTTTTTGTTTGTTTTTTTTGGTTTGTTTTTTTATAAAAATATCAAAATAAAACCGTTTGTTAAAAAAAAATATGCTGCAACGTATTGTGCGATTCAACTACGTATAAATTTATGTTTGTATAAATTGCGGTGGATACATGTAGTTGGCGGGGTAATGTCACAACACAATCACTGTTTAACCTTAAACACTGAAGACACCGTGCAGTCCTAACGGTCACGCAGCTATGTTAGCCAGGTAGTTAACTGCTAGCAAACGGTTGCTCCGACACTGCCACGAAGCCTGAACCTGTACGCCAACGTTAGCTACCTTAGCTCGGCTCGAATGCCGTTAGCACGCCTGTTACAGTCAGCAGCTGTTGGACATCCTCGTTTTTCCATCAGTCGTGACCAGGCCGGGGCTGCTGACTGCTGCCAGCCTGGCTCCAGCCCAGAGCAATCTGCTGTGTGGTCCTTTTCCTAAAAGACACCCCGCAGACGTTGAAGCTTCCTTGCCGCGGTTTTACATCCACATCAACACAACAACTGTGCTGTGATGTTCCAACTCATCAGCAGCAGCAGCCCCGGTCTGCGACTACCTGGAAAATCCTTCCTCTTGTAATAGTAAATTCAATACTCACTCGAACTGAAGCTGGTTATAGTGATGCTACACAGTGGCTCTTTTGGGGAATCGGGAACCGTGTTTGGTCAGAGCGGTCACCCAGGTCGTGTATCTTCCCTTCTTCAAATGGTCCCTCGCTCCGCCAGCAGTACCTCCGTATGATCTCTCCACACTGCAATGATGGTGCTGAGGCACAGCGAGACACGATTGGCCAGGCTGAGCGGAACTCAGTGAGCTTTGGTAAGCAGAAATCTCCGGCGACCTGCAGGGGGAGTAGCAGTGGTGCGTTCAAGCCCGTTGGAAAAGTTACAATCAATGGTTTAACACGCTCATATTGCCACAGATAGCCGTTATTTTATTTATTTATTTATTTTTTTAAATGTGTATGATTATCCCTTCAGAGTCTGAAACCCACCATAAGCCACTGAATCTGTTTAAGAAAGAAAAGATAAAAAGATTAAGATAAGAATTTAATATCCCGTTGTTACAGCAGTTAAAAAATTAAACCGAACAAATATATGAGATGTGATATCTTAAATAGCTGAATGGTATGCAGCTCAGTAAAACAATACAGCATGACAAAGCATATATCTAGAGAAGGTAAGACTATTGTGAAATCAGAATAAATACAGCTTAATAAATGTAGTAAAACCAGCATAGCAAATACATAACTTAAACAAATATTCAGAGCTTTGCTGTTTAATTTTTAATGAAGAATAATTTAAATTACATTAAATTAACTTTAAATTGTTACAATTTAAACATAATGTTACCAGACAATGTATGAATAATAAAGGGACTTATTATAGCATATTTGCCTCTGACACAGATTTGCCTCTGTGCAACAGGGCAAGCATGACTGTTTTGTTCCACAGTATGAGGGTCCACCTACCCCTTGCTGCAACACTCAGTGGGTGAAAGGTGTTAGACAGGAAGCTGTTTCTAAAGAGTTTATTTTTACAGAGTTCAGTCAGGCTTCTGGTTGAACCTCGAGAGATTTTACAGACAGAGAAGCAGGATTATCATCCCTAGTGGTTCAGTGTTTAACGTGAGGCTCAAATCTCTCAGCACACGACTATCCCAGCATGACACAGCATGATACACACAAAATCCAAAGAATGAACTAATGTCACTTTGTTGTGGAAAATGCAGTCATAGGCGTTCAAACGGCCAAAAAGATTATTTGCTAAGGGAAAAAGTCAGGTTATTGCAAATTATGATCCAGTTAAGTGATACATTTATATTTTTTCCAGCTTGTATGAGAAATTTATTTTCTCTCTGGTAAAAACAAAGAAACAATAAAACAAAACAAAACAAAAAAATCTATTGCAATGACAAATTCATATAGCACATTTAATTGTATGTAAAAATCAAAATGCTTAACATAGAAGCAAAAACACTTTACAGAGAGTTAAACACAGTTAAATTTAGGCCTGTGAGAAAAAACAAGGTTTTGAGTCTGTTTTTGGATTAGACAGAGTTGTAACTGACCTCAGCACCACAGCTATGCCTGATTTAGACTTCCGCGGGAAATCTGCATCATAACTTACAATGTAACCTCGAAAAGTCCTTTAACCCTTCGCAGCAACCTTCTAAATGACATGAGGTGCACCTCCCAAGACATGTAACCCTACGTTGGGGTCGATGCAGCCGACAACGATTGAGTGGCGTGTGGAAGGTTGCAGCTGACAGTTAAAGGGGGTTTCGTCATAAATTAGACTGTAAACTTTTCGCAGAAGTCAACCTTAACTGAAAACACCCTCACCGCATTTAGATCTAATTTTGTAACTGAAGAACTAGGTTCTCTGTGAACCATATTCGTGTCCTGATTATTCCATATTTTTCAGTGCTTTTAAAAAAAATCTGCAGACAGTATATTTTCTTTAGTGGCAGATGTCGAAAGTTTTACATGTGCAGGTCTAGGCACGGTGGCACATACCTCTGCAGTGAAGTATGTAAACAAAAAAAGTACGTCAACAAAATAGCCGCAAAAGAATATATATATATATATATATATATATATATATATATATATATATATATATATATATATATATATATATAGTTTTAAAGTAGAAAATCCCACACCGTGCAAAGGCAAAACAATAGCAATCTTGCACAATTTTGCAAGGTGCAAAACGTCCTACCCTAAGTAGTTTATGTACATTTCTGCTGTCACAGAGTAATTCCAGCACAAATTTAAGTAGGTATGACGGTCTGCCACTTAACTTTGCCCATCACATTATCACTAAATCTTAGCTGTTAAAATATGCTTCTAGCTGAGATTAACAAAGGTAGGACGATTTGCCACTAAATTTTAGCTGTTAGTATGCTTGTAGGTCACATTCACAAAGGTAGGATGGTCTGGCACTTAATTTTACCCGTCAGAATATTTTTCTGGCTAATATTCACAAAAGTAGGACGGTTCGCTACTTCATTTCGTGTTGGGCGCATGCGCAGAAACAATGGGTAGTGTCACTACCCGATCCGTACCGGAAACCCGATCGGTACCCCGCATGCGCAAATCTTACGTCACTTCCTCTCTTTGCGACATTCAATATATTTGAATGATGCGGTTAGCGCCCAGTTAGCTCCTAGCATTTCTCAACAGCTTCTCAAAAATTGGTGGTCTTAACTTTCTTTTGCTTTGTAATTACAATATCGATAAAATCCCTTTAAAACTATCCAACTTTCATAAACAAATGCTTCTTTCCTGGTCATTGATTTATAAACACAATTTTTCTCCACATAGATACTATATTTGGAACAATAGAGACATTTTATACAAACATAAATCTGTGTTTTTAAGTAATTGGTTTGATAATGGGATTCATCGTGTTGCACAACTTATAAATCCAGCTGGAGGTTTACTCTCTTACTCAGAATTTTTGAATACATATGGTCTTCCTGTTCCACCAAAGGAATATGCCATAGTGTTTGATGCTATCCCTGCTGGGGTCTTAATGTTGTTTAGAAATCTTGTTAGTGATTTGACCCCTTTACCACTGGATCCTGCTGTTACTTATGTCGGTCAGGTGTGTTTCCCTTCTGTAAGGAGGAAAAACAACCGTGAAATACGAACTCTGTTTCAAAAAGACAGAACTTGTGTCCCAACGGCTGTCGCCTACTGGAATAACTTATACCAGGACTTGGAATGGGAGAAGATTTGGACCTTACCGTCAAAATTTCTATTAAATAACAAAGTAAAGGAAATATCTTTTAAAGTTATTCATCGTTTTTACCCAACTAGGTCTTTTCTTGTACGTTATAAAAAGGACATTGATGTTAACTGTACATTTTGTAGTTGTGTGAAGGAAGATATTTCTCATTTATTTTGGTCATGCTTATACACGAATCTTTTCTGGCAAGAATTTTGTGTTTTTGTTGTTTCCTTTATCCTTTCTGAGTTCTCTCTTTGTTACGAGAAAATATTGTTTGGTTTCTTTAAGTACCCCATGCACAGGGCAAACGAATTTTATTTGATTAACTTATTGATATTATTGGCCAAATTTCATATACATAAGTCGAAATTTTCTAACGCAAAACCATCCTTTCGGTGCTTTTTAAATGAAACCAAACAATATGTTAAAACCATACAACATTCTCAAAATCAAAAAGCTGTCAAAACCATAAACCTATGTTCCCTGTTCAATATCATGTGATTCTATAATATACTGTGTCTATTTTGCTTTTTTATACGAACCCCCTGACATTGTGTTTGCTATTTTGTATTTGTATATCTGTATTTTGTGCTTTTTCAATTTAAAAAAAAAAAAAAAAAAAAGAAGAAGGATGGATTCCCTGAACACCTCTCGTGCTTCCGCCATGACTTCATTTGTGGGTGTGGTCTGCTATTTTTCTTTGCTTTCGCTTTACGTTGGATTAGACAGAGTGCGTTGCGCAGTTTTTGTAAAAGGACAGAATCAGGAATTACTTATATGGTATTGCTTGTTAAGCGGATCCTCGCTTGTTTCGTTTTAAGTTGGGGAGTATTTGGTAAATCCCCTTCCTCGCGTTTTTAGGCGGTGCGTCATTCTATAGTTTTCCTTCTTCTGCTTTGCTACGTGTTTGTTGCAGGACTCTTTTCGGTAAGGTCTCTCTATAATTTAATAACTATCCATTAGCAATGACTTATTATATTTTCACGACTTTTTGTGGATCTTAACATTGTGATTATTGTGACCCACAGGCTTTGACTATAATTCTTTATTAAGGGCTCATCTCCTCTTAAAGTTTTACCAAAGTCCACATGGCTGTTCCGGATCAATTTCAGCTACTTGCTATAAATGAAATCGCGGAAGCTCTCAGCAGCAATGAACGCAGTAGGCTCTTCTATTTATGTGAAAGCTTGGACACGGACCACAGTGTGGCTTGTATGAAGGAGATGCTCAGATCAAAAGTGACGCAGCATCAAAACGCTCACCTGTTTCTGGCAGAGCTCATGTGGCGTTTGGGGCGTTTGGATATCCTAAGGAAGGTGTGTAAAGTCAACAGGGATGACTTGGAGAGGACCAGACAAATGGTCCCACGTTTCAGGTAAGACATCCTTTAAGATGAGCTGATGAATTGTAAAGATTTGAAGAATCGAAGTTAACAGTGTTTGTTCCACTTACTGCAGAGTATTGATGACAGAACTAAGTGAGGAGCTGGACACTGAAGATTTGGACAGTATTAAATTCCTGTTAAGCTGCAAATTATCTCGTGAAAAGCTTGAGAAGACAAAGGTAAAAACAACAACAAAAACCCCAAATGAATGAGACATGATTCTGTTTTCACTCATTTTCAAATTTATGTGGGTGGGGATTTATTACTAACAACATTAACATGGTAATTTTAATGTAATTTAAATTATTATTAACATGGTGCAGTCAATGATGGGAACCCCCCCCCCCCCAAAAAAAAAAAAAAAAAAAAAATTAAGTAATTAATTAATTTAAAAAAAAAAAAAACATTTTAGACATTTTTGCCATTTCTTTTGTGTTACAGAGTTTTCTGGATATCATT